GTTGAATGAAAAAAAAAACAAAGAAATATTAGTTTTCTCTTTTTATTCCACATTATAAAGTTTGCGTCACTCTTATTCCTGTGTACTGTTTCACTTTCAGATATGTTTTGTCATGAATGTAGCTTGGTTCTTTGCGTTCTGCATGGACACGATTATTTTCCGATTAATTATTTTCAACCGAATGATTCAATCCCGATCGAAGCATTTTGTTGTTTGTGGTATTCGCTTTGACTAGCGTAGCGAACTGTGCTCAGTATTCGATTCAAGCCCGTACTATGCGAAGCATTTATTTCCGTGGAAATGACACGAAGCGATGTGTGACGCTTCAGCATTGGGCGCTACTTATTTTCCCCATGCTGAGTTGTGCAATATACAAAGTAGAGTTCGCATTGTTGACAAATGACGCGCGTAGAAAGTATCCGAGCTCGACGACGCTCTGAACACGTGTATAGAAAATAAGTATTTAAGAAGATTTATTGAGAACTTATAAAAAAACACCCGTACGCTATTTAATGAACCGAGAAATAAATTATATTGGAGTTGCGACGGGTCGCGTCTCTCCGCCCAGAGAGTCGAACGGAGATGAAATATCGACAAAAGAGCATCAACAGTCGCGTGTTATCTGAAAGTGAAATGTAAAATCGATTCCGGCGAAAAATTGTTAGACGACGAGAGTGAGTAGCAGGCGTTTGTTTATAAATATATTTGTAATTTATGTTTGTTAAGGATGAAATAGACGAAACGAGAAGTGTTGTATAAGCGGCGAAAGACGAATCAATGCGAACCTCTTTCTATTTGCGAGACTTTTAATGAATTTATTACAGTTATGGCACAGCTCACCGGTCCGGGACGCTTGCTCGCGGTATTTCGATCGCGACGACCATTGATGCTCGTTGGTTAATTAATATCGCGGAGCTAGATTGGAGATACCTAGGCGTGATGCGATGAGCAACGTGCACACACATCGGCAACACGATTGAACTACAATAGTTATAACAAAAAAAAATGTGATGTCCGCGTGTCTGTGTTATAACAAAGTGTGCCGTGTGTGTGTGGACGTTGACTCTGATGGCTACTTGTTTTCTGCCCGATCGTATGTATGATTTTTGCTTGAATGTTGGGAGCGATGCTCGTGTTTCTATTGGTGTATGTCCAGTGGTGGCGGAAGTGTGTGAATGCTAGCGTAGACGGAGGATAAATTTCTCCGTAAAATATAATATTTTTCGCGTGCGGATTCTGGGATTGCTGGATGTCTGCTTTTTAGTAACAAATCGTGTGTCCAAGTGGCAAGATTCAACCGCGTATGACGTGCAGCTGTCCAAGAACCCCCCAGTCACGACTTCCTGAGGATGTATTTAGCGAACCCGATGATGACGTTGGCTCGCGATACACCATCCTCCTTGAATCATTCAGTTCACTAACTACGGTACACGATGTGTGAATATAACGATGTGTCTTTCGTTTGTTTCTATTTTTTGTTTCCTTTTTTTAATTAATAACATTGATATCATAACGTAATAACGTACGTGTAGTTTGTGTTGTAATCACGTGTGCATGGTATTGCATGTTATACGAAGTTATATTGTTTGAATAGTATTTACTCCGTTTGAGTATTTAGACGATTTGCAAATGAGAAAAGTTACACTTACAGCTGAACTCAGGCGGCCATCTTCTTCCCTTCACGCTCTCCGAATCTTTGTCCTCCACACCTGACCCAGACCCCGTCTAACCCCGTTCGTCCCGATATAAGTTTAATTGTAAAAGAAGCGGTTGTGATCCCTCGATATGCGTTTTTCGTCCGAGACTCATAAATTATATACATAGATATTATATTTGTAAAAGGGTGATCGCTCGCGGTTCGACGACGCTCGATGTTGAAATAGAAATTATGAATTATACAATTGCGCAAGGAAGATTGTTAAGCGTAACCCTTGTCCATTTGCGTCGGTCGAATCACGACGGTGCACGCCTATGCAATGACATCCTAAAGATGTAAAACTTTCAGATAATAAACATGCATATTGTTGTACAAACCTGGTCCTTGGGTTGCTTGGTCTTATCGGTTCGGATTGTGGGAATTGAACATGGCGAATTGGGAGGGCGATAATATGGACACGTGAAATTATTCAATCGATGTAAGTAGTAGGTACATAGCATGTACTTCTAGAATTCACTTAGACGTTAAGATAATGCATTTCTAATCTGATATTATAATTTTTCCAAAGGTTACTTTGAAAAGTATAAAAAGGTTGCACACGAGAATTTGGAATCTTTTGTAGTCCTCGGTAATATAAACAGATGATCAAAAAACCTGGAATTCTAATTGAAAATAAATTCTGACCATGTTTCTTATTATCATTGTTGAGGTTCGATTAAAAATGATTTTATGTCGAAGTGAAAAGAATATTTAATCACAATATTAAATAACATACCTCGTCGGAATCATTTCATGTGACCACAAGGTGGAACATAGTAAAGTAACATAGCCAAGTAATAAAATTTGGGCAGTGTTTTATTTTATTCGTAGACAGCACGAATGAAGAGTACAATGAACCGTGGTGGCCAGTAATGTTAATAAATAGAACTCCATGAACGACGGTACGCACTGTGAGAAACAAAAGACATAGTGTCGGGCAACAGGTGTCGCACGGTTCTCCGGGATACGATGCGTATACTCTTTCATATTTTTTTTTTGATTTCTTTTTTCGTAACTTTAGTCGACTTTTTTCATTGGTTTTCGTCGTATCGCGTGTTCCATGCGGGGCGACACGGTCATCAGTAGACGTGAGCTGTAAAAGAGACCGAACGATCAGTGATGAGGAAAGATCATAAAGTCGTTAGAACAGACAGAAAGAAGCTTCGAGAGTTCGGATCACGTGGCCGTGGTAATTGAAGCAATCGACCGCGGTTTCTTTCGAGCGATCGTCCTTGCAGTAGGATCAACTTTAATCCGGAATTAAACGGATCTACGGTTCTCGAAGCTTCGAGGGCACAGTGAATGAAATAAGAATTAGAATACGTTTCGAGATGGGGGAGGGGCGTCTTGTCAAAGGGAAGATGGTCAACACAGTTCAGTGTCGTCAGGCTGTATGTATTTCGTGTAACAAAGCTTTTGTTATGAAGATTTGAACGTAGTCTGCAAACACAAACTGTGGGCCGCGATTCTCGCAATAAACAGGGGTAGCTGAGGGTTCCATTAAGATCCCGGGAGTTTCTGTTTGCAGGGGGTGGTTCTCTATTGATGTGTACACGCGTATATACATATTAGTCGAGTGAAGATGTACATAGAGGAACACGTTTCAAAGAAAAGACCTATTAGAGGACATGATGGATACACTGCTGGCAGAAAGTTTGGAATCAGTTCAAGCCACAGGCTATTATAGTCTCTGTACAGTCTGTATAGTATAAATAATCGTCTAGTGATACAATTATACAAATTTGGAAATTAATTGTAATTAATTATCATTATAGAAATTAAGGAAAATCTTATGTTAGGTAACATCATTTTCGAACATCTCTGTCACCGAACTTTCTGCCTGTATCGTAAGTCAGTCACGTACAAAATGCAGACAGCATGTGCGTCGCTGTTTTGAGTTGAAAGACAATCCTTCATTCGTTTAATTAGATGACCGTTTCGAGTCGAGATGAGTGAATGATTCATGACTTTTACGATGACACGGTTAATACTATGGAGCCTTTTCATTCGAGCAAGCTCCCGCTACTACAGGGTTGTTCTGTTCTATTCGATCCTTCTTTTTCCTTTGAATTAATGTTTTGTTACATATAAATGCGTGTTAATCATAAGTACACGTCGTCGTAACAAAGAAACCTGTACACTAATCACGTGAGTAATCGGCTCGCTTCCATTATTATTTCACGAGAATTAACGAGCAAAGGGGATGAAAGGGGACAAAACAGTTTGTCACATTTTAATCGTATCGCTCACTTTTTTTCTTAATATGTGGTACGTTTATTGTACCACGGGCGGGTAAAGTGAAATACTGGAACTGGCTGCGAATAATAGTAGTATAACGATCCTGAAATACAACAGACACATTCGTGTACCATATCATTTGCCTTCACTCAATTTTCTTATGTTTCTATCGAAACCGTTTTTACTCTCTTCCAACCACGATCCGTACTAGCCGGCTTCCAGTTTTGAAAAATCGCCAATTGTCGCACGTGGACGTGAATCGGTGGAGACTTGCGGATCGATCGGCCAGTACGCCGCTTCGTGATACATTGTTGAGAGAGTAATCTAGCAGATAGACGGCTTCGTATCAAGGCGAAGCCAGCGAACGACGAAGAAAACAATGCTGCGAAATCAGCAATATTGTCGTCGCAGGTTGCTCACTTGTTTGATAGGTATGATGGAAGTTGCACGACAAAAAGCTTCGTTTCACAGATGAAGATTCAACTTCATAGAAAAACTCACGTCAAAAACTGCGCAACCCTTAATCGTGTTTCTCTTGAAAATGAGGACAATTATTTTGAGATGCTCCAATGTTCCTTTACGAGTTTCTAATCGCACCGACGAGTCACGCGTTTTCAACAGAGCGCAGCGGTCAACGTCAACATAAGTCACTAAACAGGTTGACCGTAACGAGAATTTAGACTGTTTTGTATAACATTATTGATCGTATCATAACGAACGCAAACGGTATGAGAATTAATTAGCAATGATTGGATATCGTAGCTCTTAAGTTACATTTAGCTACCTAAGTAACTATATATATCTTAATACGACATCAGTGTTCTTGTTGCAGTTGTTTTCAAGTAATATGGACGCTCCGGTGATCGGTGACAACCGTGACGGTCAACACGTTAATTAATCATTGAAAAGTGCCAAAAACAACGGAGGATTGTTGGCTTGATCATCCGGTACATTGAAAAATGAAACAATACCCGCGTGCGAGCCAGACGTTAAGCAAATGTTTAAATAATGCCAGATACATTTTTCC